AGGGAGGCTGAACTTCCCCTAAAATTTCATAGAGGAAATGGTCAAATATGCACTATTGAATTTACATTAAAATAAGAATTTACATTGCATTAAACATGCGCTGGGATACGGTTCACATCATGATTATGATGTTCAAACATCAGCTGTTAATCACCAGTTTTCAAACACGACCTCCCTGTCATACATTCTCGTGTCAGCACGTTGGACGTGGAGCCTCTAAGCATTCCTATGAGACAGCACTGAGCAGGTTTTTTCCATGCAGCAAAGCGAGATGGTCATTGGATAAAGACAAAATCGTCACTTCCAGGGAGGCTCAGCTTCCGTGGGACCTCATGGAGCGGTACGCAGGAGAGGACGCTCGGTGTATGCATGATGATTGGAGGAATTGTCTAAAAGGCTGAACCCCTTTGTGATTGACAGCGCTTCGCATTTCAAGCTCAGTCCCATGATGATATTTGTGAGTCTTCTGACAGAGTGCTGTCCGGAGTTCATTATTTCAATAAGCCATATAGCTCATTTTCACCGTTTGTCGACACAGTTCAGGTGTTTAAACCCATCTGAAAATATTTGAGGTGTGTTTTGCTGTGGTTCTATGGCATGAGTGTGGCTGAAAAACGGCTTCAATTAAATGTTCCTTTTATAAGTTACTGCCTTGCTACAATATGACAAATTTTATGATATAAACTTAAAGTGAGCTCCCCCTGTTTGAAAGACCAACCCCCACCACTGGGCCGCACAATGCGGAAGCAGTGCTGATCACCCGAGTGATTTTATACTTGGCAGCTGAACCATTTTGGCTTCATGCACCACTGAGCAACTTTCATAGGAATGAACGGGGTCCCACTGCCAATGCAGTATCCAGCTCTCTTTATACATCCATGGGATGGGCTAAGCTTTAGCAGATGGACCCAGTCAGGTGCAGGGGACCAAGAACAATATAGGTTAAGCACCTGGAGTGAGCGTTGGCAATGGCCGAAAAAACAGATGCATTGTTGTTTTTGGTCTTTTCATGGAATTGTTTGACAGTAACAAAGCTGTAGGTGTATATTTTTATACCAAATAATATAAAGTATATAATATAATATAGTAAACAATAGCTAAAATGAAAAAAAGAATACATTTAACAGGAAATGTAATCTAAAATATCAGTTGTAAGACTCAGGTTTTTACCTTTCTCTTCAGAGGTTTTTTTTAAACGGACCTTTTATTACCATCATTCAGCAGTCCTACTGAAAATACTGAAAGGCAGAGATATTCTTCTACAGTGACAATAGTTTCAATAAACCATAATTCAATGCGGACACCTTGGTTTTCTATGGCCCAAAACACGATGCTGGTTTTTCTGTCATTTTTGTTCTCACCTCTGATGTGTAAAATCAACAGCTGGACACAATCTCGGGTGGTATTTTAAAAGCCATTTGTTTTCAAAATGTTGGAAATCAGAAGCTGAAGTCGATGAAGGACAGCGGTGACATCAGTAATAGAGGCAGAGCTGGAGGAAGTGTTTAACCCCTTTGTTTAAAAGTACTCCACTGTAGAAAGCAAGCAAAAACCCTGCTGCATTGAAAATGTCACTTAAGTGTAAGTACATGAAGAAAATTGCCCCTTGTGAGTGTTAGAGTGTTAAATATTATATCACTGGGTTATTATTACTGCATTAAAGTGCAAGTAGCGTTTTCCTTTTATGTTTTCTATGTAATCTTCAAAGTAACTTGTAACCATGGCTGTGAAGTAGATGTAGCAGAGCCAAAAGTACAATATTTTCCTCTGGATTGTAATGGAGTAACAGTGTGAAGTAGCGAAATTTGACATATTATACTCAGCTGCATCAGACTACTGTACAGCACTATACCAAAATAACTCACACAATATGTTGAATATGAAGGATTAATGATTTAGAGCAGTGCATTTTTCCATGAAAGGCTGTGTTAATAACACTGAACATCTCTTCAACTTTCACTGTGCTGTTTTTCAGATGCGTGGGGGCAAACTAATGATCTCTCACACCAGGAAGAGCGATGCTGGCATGTATGTTTGTGTGGGCACAAATATGGTTGGAGAGAGGGACAGCGATCCTGCAGAGCTGGTGGTGTACGGTGAGTTAAATGTTTGTGCAGCAGTGTTAAGTCCTTAAAGAACATAAGTCGGACATATTTTATATATCCCGTCTTCCTGCAGAGCGCCCTGTGTTGGTACGGAGGCCGGTGAACCAGGTGGTCATGGAGGAAGAGACTGTCGACTTCCTGTGCGAAGTCCACGGAGATCCGCCCCCAACTGTCCGATGGCGGCGAGACGAAGGGGAGCTTCCCCGCGGGAGGTGAGAGTGACGAGCGTGAGCACAGACCAATACAGAGTAAGATGCACATCCAGCATTTTCTGAGTCTGAACAAAAAGTACAGCTTCACCAGAGGCGAGTCGTGTATTGGATTATTAACACGTGTGACCCAGAAAACATATGTGGAGTAATTGTTCATTAATTCATGTCTCTCTATCAGTCTGCTAATATAAATTCATAAATGGAAGACTCTAAAGAGGATTCATTAGTCGGCACAATCCTCCTGTGACCAGTTTTCCTTCTAAACTCAATATAATGTATATTTAGCCAAGCCTGTTAAATAATTACAGTTTTTCACTTTTCAGTATAACATTACTCTAAAACTTAATACTATAACTGTAAAAATAAAACTTGTACAGTGCAGCCAACATTGTGTGTTGAGCTGAGGTGATAAATTATAGGTGTTTTATACTTTATTTATTTAATGAATGCAGGTGATTTTGTTCTGTTCTCTTCCTGCAGTGCTGCTCTGCAACAGCTGTTGAATATATTGTCCCATTATGGTGCTGACATTAATGTCAGGTTCAATGCCAAAAAGAATTAAATGTAAAGAAGCTAAAAAAAGGTAGATTCTTTTAAAAGAGTAGCACAGTGTTTTGTGAAATGCAGTTTGCTTTCTTGCTGAGGACAATACACCATGCCACATCACAAAAACTGCTCAGAAACGGCCCTGGCCTCCAAAATAGCAGATCCCAATCTGATCAAGCCGCTGTGTGATCTTTCAGTACATCACCTTACAATCCACAGGACTCAGGGATCTGGGAAATTTGGAGGACAGGTCGATACATAGAACTCTTTGTCATGTTCCTTAGGACATTTCTGAGCAATTTTTGCAGTGTGGCATTGCCCTGTGTCCTGCTGGGGGGTTTTAGAGGGGCACTGCCATCAGGGAGTGTTGTTGCCGTTGGGGTCTGCAATTTAGGAAAACAGAATTGCAATGAGTTATACAGTTTTACCTGTCTATTTTACCTTCAAATATTCAGTAAAAACTAAACAAAAATTATGTCTCATTTCTTTAGTTTGTAAACAACAGATTCTGTGTACAATATTAATAGTGCAACAAAATAAACTCTACCACAAATTACACATTTAAACAGCCCCTAAATACAAGAAATGT